TGCTGCTGAAGGACAACATGAACAGATTGCTTAAAACTATCTTTGGATATTTTCTCTACTTTTTCAGAAATTAACCTTTGAGCTTCCAACAAAAGCCAATTCAACTGGTGAATGTGACACAAGCAGCAAAGATCACCCCTACATCAAATTAAGCTGGAGCACTCACAGTCAGGACTGTAGCTTCACCATGCATTTTAAAAAGTTTATTAAAGATACAGGAAATGCAGGGACTCAATACTGGGCAGCTACTAATGTAACATTTTCATTGAAAGTCAACAGTAAGTGAGAACATTTTGTATGTTTTGTTTTGTAAAGTTCTTTGTTGGGTATCTCTAAAACGCAGACCTCGAAAACGCAGACCGCAGACTGCAGATCTCAAAAATGCAGACCTCCAAAAATCTCTCTTTGACAGAGCTGAATAATCAAATGCTACATCAGAGGGTGTGCGGTCAACAAAGTGGGCTCAAGTGTCCTTGGTCTAAAATTTAGCAAAATTAGTGGAAAATAATAAGGGCTGACTTTAAAAACCGAGAAACTGTTTTTGTTGAAGGCATTTTCCTATTTCGGGAGGTTTTAAGGAGAAAATTAATTTTTTAAAATTTTTAGGGGGTGTACCAAGTTTTTGGAGTTTCTATAAAAGAAAAGTGCCAAGGAAAACAACACCTCAAAGAAACAGAATAGGAAATCAACAATGCGAATGACTCAAAATCTGTGTTTCCACGGCAAACCTAGCACATGCATATATGTAATTCAGCTGTCTCTCTCTTCAACATTTCGAAGAGAAGCGTGGCTGTGAAGCAATTTTTTGGTGAGCAAGACTTTGTCAGTAACAAGTATTGCGCGTGACCGGAAGTCGGCAAAGATCAATTTAAAGATTTGTTTCATGTTGAGCCAGTGGTCTGCAGACTAACAGATTTTGGTGAAAGTCTCTCTCGGTTACTTCAATAACACTTACTTCGATGATTCATGTGCACACGTCCAGTGGAAGCTGCTGTCCAAACTCATTGTTTTGTGATCTTTTTTTAACAGATTCTAACACTGTGTTCCAATCTGACAAAGAGAAATTCAATGCACTGTCTGCTGGTATTGGTGATGCCTATGCATGTCCATCTGCTCCTGCCATCAATCTTACAGCAAAGAAATCCAGTGTTGAGATTACCTTGACTGATTTTAAATTTCAACCCTTTGGTGTAAAAAATGGGCACTTTGGCAATGGTAGGATTTTTTTGTTTTTGTGTTTTGTTCTAACCAGCAACTATCTAACTAGCATTACTTAATGGTTCCTACATGAACTCTCCTGGCAAGTAATTTTTGAAGGAGTGGGATATATATGATGACTGGCCACAGGGAACTCTGGATCAAATCTAAGAATAACATTAGAGTCTAAAGAATTCATCTCATAATTCAAATTTATGTTTATTTTTTTCTTATAATATGAATAAATAATTTTTTAAGACTATCAGCTTCACAGTGTATTTCATAGTGGTGGGCATGATTTGCTATTCCTTTTTGGCCATTTTAATTGGCCTACTTGGCCTTGCTTTTAATTGAAAATTCTATAATGTTTTTAAACATGTTGTGGAGGCCAGAAAGGCTAATTTACTTGAACATAAAACAATAGCAATTCAGCCACCCTTTTTGAAAGAGTCTACAAAGCTCAATAAGGAGAGTCTACAAAGAGTCAATAAGGAGACAGTGTGGCCAAGTAGTTAGGGTGCTGGACTTGTAATCCAGTGTCCCAGATTCTAATCCTCCACCCTGCCACTCACTGGATTTGTACTCGGTTGCCCCTAGTTCCACTCCTCTGCTGCACTCTGTAAACAGCCCACTGGTCTGCCTCGTGCCAGCGGGGATTTTTAAGCACTTAGTTAGTTTACATTGTAGCTGAAAAGCCCCCAAGGGGGAGCTTCAATCTGCGTATTTATTTTATTTTATTTTACAAGTGTACCAAGTGCACAGTATGCTTCTCATAGGAGAATCTGATTTAATTCTGCCCTTTTGCTGACAGTGACAAATTGTGTTTTCACTCCGACTACGACTGCATCTTCAACAACTGCAAAATCTTCACATCCGCCAAAAACAACTAAGCAACCTGAAAGTCACACTGTAGCCATTGCAGTTGGGTGTTCATTGGCTGGGCTCGCTCTTGTTGCTGTTATTGGCTACTTGATTTTGCGACGCCGTAGTCGCAACAATCAAGCTGGATACCGCAAGTTGTAAACCACGGCATAAATGTTAGCCTGCATGCACCAACTCATTATCACCGGTAGTGCCTTAGTACATGCTATATTTTGCTAGCAAGAAAGTTTGAGGCTTTGAATGATGTTAGTCAGTAAGATGTGTGCATGGGGTTCAGAAATTTGCCAGACCCCAATAGACCTCTTCCTGAGTAATCTCAAATCTTTCTAAGCAGACAAACAATTTTCCTGCAGTACTTATATTTGTTCATTGAAATTTGCTCCCAAGAAGTTTTGTTAGGTTTTAGTTTTGAATGTCTAACTTTATGCCAAGCCTGAACATGTGTTGTTTGTTGTTTCCATTCATTTCAGTTTCCTTTATCCTTAACCCTCTCCTTTCTTTATGGTATATTTTTTTCATTGTTGCTTTTTTCTTTCTCTGAATCTTAAGTTTTTTTGGTCTAATATTTCAGATTAAAATGTGGACCAGTTTTTTTTTTGTTTGGCATGATGTGTATGGGGAATCTCTATGTAATTTCCCTTCAATTCTCTTGAAGAGAAAAAGGTTTCTCTTACCCCCTTGGCAATTGAATAGCATTTTTGATATTGCATTATTATGGTATATTTGATGAATATGATGAGGAAAATTAGAGTAATTACAGTACATATAATGGTACTCAAATTTGGGAGATAAAGTAACTTTGGTGAAAAGATTTTACAGACTGTATCATCTTGAGCATGTCGTCATCAAAGTCTTTTAGTTCTTCGATCGGTGGAGGGTTCTTTGGTCGATTTGAAGCCGTAGTTCTCTTTGGATGTGGGTGAGGTGTTAGGATTTAGGAAGAAGTGGGCCTTCCAGTGCATTCTGTTCAAGAATTGGGTGGTTTTTTTCGATGAGACATGGTAAATAGTTGTTGTGCGATGGTAATGGAATATTCTTGGTAGAGTAACTGAGGTTGAATTTTTCCAAATTTGGGAGATAAAGTAACTTTGGTGAAAAGAGCTTGTAGTTATTAATCTAGGTGAATAAACTTGCTATATAGTATGATTGTATGTCACTACAATTGTGGAAGGAAAATAAAAACCTTTCAGGAGTAGGAAACCTTTAAAAGGTGCATGTTAGGTTAGTGTGTTTGAGTAAGTATTTTGATAAACTCTTTTAGTTATAGTTTTTAGACCTAGATACTTTATTAGAATAATTCAAGGTGACGAATGATATTTTTTATTTCCTTGATTTGGTCCTAAAAATGTGCCACTGTAAGCTACTGAGTTCAATATTTCATTTTTTGTCTCAATCAGTAAGTTACTCAATACTGTACCTGTTACATGATGGTGTTGTAGTTTCCTTTTTCAATAAAATTTCATTGATATACTGGGATTTTATTTCCTTAATTGGAAACTGCTACCACTTTGTATGAAATCATGCCCACTCTTAAACCATTTCCAAAAATATTTAAGTCCACTCTTTACATCAGTAGGAGGGCATAAAAACAGTATACAGAGCATACAAAATATAACACTGAAACAATACTGTTATCTCCATGTAACTACCTGGCACTTACAAAGTAATTGTAACTGTTTCTTTTTTTTAAATCCTCTTTTTGAGAAAAATTTTTGTTACAAATATTGATTACAGCAATGGGCAGAAATACAGTAGTCTTCTGTACAATAACTTTGAGTGTTAGCAAAGTGCTCCTTATATAGGCCATACAGTTAACCACAAAAGTGATCAACTTTAGTGCAAAACATCTTTCAACAAATAATGATAAGAATGGAAACAAATTTATCCACCAAATTTGCTAGAGAAATTTACTGGGATTTCTCCAACAGTTAGTGGTAAGAATCAATAATCAGACCTTGGTAGTTTAAGGGCTATGTTCTGTGGGGCCATGCTCTGGGGTACCATGTTCTGTAGAACCATGTTCTGGAGGACCCTGAGGATAGGATACTAAGGATGCAAAGAGGTCAGCATTTTCCGAAGCAATGAAATCAACATACCGGTAGGACTTAATGGGAGTGATAAATAAGATACAAGAGTGACATATTCTTGTCTCCCTGGATGTTTCCATAAAGGAACAATGAAACTCTGTACTAATTAACGTTTGACAGCTAGACTGTTCCCCTCCATAAGACTGAACTCTCAGTCTGGTATATGATGTTAAATAATTGTTACTTATTCTTACTTCGGTAATGCCATGTACTACTTATGGAAGTACCTAATAAAGTTGTTGTTGTTGTTGTTGTTGTATATAAAAGTAACAGTACAATCGTCAAACTACCCAGTGTGCATTAAGTAAATATTTACCAACGGAGCCAGACTGTCATGGAATGAAATATTCAAATAAAAGAATTTTCATGACCTAGTTTAAAATCGTTCGATACAGAGCACAGTAAAGGCAGGATTTTGCAACATGTCACGCTTTAGCAAGTACGTCTCAGGTCACGTCCGGAGCTAAACAATAGTCTTGAATTCCTCGCTATTTTAAGAGCAGTGAAGATATTGTGATAATTGAAATATTTTCGTTTAAAACCACACGCACGCTCAGAAGTAGCTGTGTTTTTACTCTCCTTTCCCTCCCTGCTCTTCTGAAAGAACATTTTTTGGGAGCCAAGAAACTCTCTAAACAGAAGAGAACTTTCAAATATGATGATATTTTTCCCTTTGTTACAAAAGCTACAGGTTCCGTCAGCTATAATTCGAAACTGCTTTGATTAAATGTCAACTATACGTTCTCGAATAAAAATTTAAACAAAAGTATTCTTCGGGTCAGAGTTGTGATGTATTCTTTTAACTTTCACGTACACAATTGTTTGCACTGGATTTTGAAACAATTCACAGGTGTGGGTTGGGAATTAAACCTCATTTGACGTAACCAGCCAAAATACGTGCGGTGAGCATCAGCTGATGATTCTCACGTCTGTTTGTATGCGGTTTCACGTTCGATTTTTCTCGCCCTGTTACCTTCAACGCCTATAATCACCTCCAAAAAGACAGCATAATTGAATTTTTTTGAGAAAATAGTTTGAAAACCCTTCTTTTCGAATAAAATTGTGCTTCCGTGGAGAGGATTTTGACACGCGCCCTTGTGGATAATACTGTTCGACACTAGCACTGTAATAAACAATAGCAATTACGTCGTGCAAAACACGTGTGCTTTCGACAGTCTTGCGTCAGACTCACACCCTGGTTACCACGGTAACAAGACAACTCTTTGTTCCAACTCGCTGGTGATTGGTGCGGTGTGACGCTGGTATCTATTTTTGTCATGAAAATTTTCCCCAGTAATTGTTTTCTGTTCGAATGTTCTCTACCAACTATTAATATATATAGCCCTATTCTCATAGCGAGGAAGTCTTATTGAGAAACTTTGGGGTCCTCTGTGATCGGAGGTGGAACAGTGCTTCGCCTTAACGAATATAACTATCTCTGTAAGACTGCTGCTTACACCAGAAGAAAAATTGCATTTTGGAGCGTCGCTACTCGAAAGAAACGTTGCCAAGAAATTGACCGAACCAACAAACATGAAAGAAGAAGTTTGTTCGGCCATCAAGTTCCTCTCGGAGGTTCTTTCAAGGAACTCAAAAGTTAACCAAGAAAAAATTCTAAAATTTAAGGACACATTAGAACAGTTAATCATCGCGAGATTCGAGAACCACTGGCACCCAAACAAGCCTTTGAAGGGAAATGCGTTTAGATGCATCAACATTGATGAACTAACAGGCATCGACCCAGTGTTACTGACAGCGACGAAGGCGAGTGCAATATCACCTTCAGTTCTGTTAGAGCTCTTCCCAGGCGGACTAGCACTATGGATTGACCCAGGAGAGGTGTCATGTAGAATTGGAAAAGGTTCTATCTGTCCGATTTATTGTAAAAACCCTCAGCAACAACAACTTCAGCCGCAGCAGCAATTTACGAATCACTCTCAAAGGCATCTTCAATCCTTGTACTTCAACTCGGATTATCGTCAATGCTCACAATTCAGCTATAAGCAGACGCTTTTCACAAGGAAAGTCAATAACAAGGAAAACTTCGACAGGTATCATTGGGTCAGCAAGGACTATTCCAAAAGACCCACAGAGGTATTTTAAAGCCACAGAAAACACTCTCCTTGAACACATCCACCGACCCGTTGGACCGGACTTGCACAACGTTTGCCACACACACGAACTTTTAAATTAAGTTTAGAGCAGAATGTTTTTAATGTTTCTTGTACATAGCTAAATAATTTCTATGTACAGAATTATCTTAGAATTTATTGGAGCATTTAAATGAAATGTAATTTTCATGTCTATTTTTTGCTACTAACTGGGAATGGCTTAATATAATTTGTAAATTTGTACATGTACAATTGAGAAATAGATTACGGAGCTTCTCAAGGAGCGAAATTGGGAAGAAATTAGCGTAGAGTTTCATTATTTTGTACAGATACAAGAGTTCCGTGTTATATGGTTTAATAAAAGCGTTAAGTTGATGAAATATTGTTTCAATTTGAGGGTGTTTCTTTTTGTATGCAATTCATTGACTGTGTGACATATAGGTATTTCCAGTTTTAGCCAGTACTCCAAAACAAGACCTCGCTGAAAATATATGTGTGGAGGGGAGGTATTTCAACCTGATAACAAGGACAAAACAATGTCCCAACGATGTTCCAACAATTTTCCTTGTGTGAATTAGTGGTTGGAATTTTATGGCAATAATGGATTACATCAGAGAAATATCAAGATTAAGTGAAGTGAAGTTTGAAATTCTCTTTTCTTAACCAAAACCCTACCTATTTTCCCTCTAACCCTAACCAAAACATAAACATTGTGTCATTAATGTTAAAAGCTGAAATTTGAAATTTCTTTTAGGCATATTTTCAAAGTTGCTTCTGAATTAATCTTTGTTGAAGAAATACTCTTAATAAATATCTTGAGAATAGCTTAAGATGGTAACTGTGGCACAGAAAATATTTTTGAAAGCAACTGTCAGCCATTGCGGACTTGTTTATAAACAAAGATGAAGGTCTCTGGTGTAAGTTTTTATAACTGTCTAGACCTAATTCCTAGTTCTGCTAGTTTTAGTAACATGGAGGGTGATTAATGAGTGCAGCATGTGTAACCATCTGAGTAGCATGTCTTCAAATGTAAGGTTGAAGACTTCCCATTTGAAAATTATGATGAAACACTGATGTCATAAACATTCTCTTACACTCCAGAGCTACAAAGCTCTTTTCAAGAGATTTCACCAACTTTATTTCAGGTACATACAAAAACTGGGAAATATGAATTTTCACATGTCTTGAAAATGACCCTTGCATCTACAACAACTTGAGTATACATTAAGGTTAATGTAAACAGCTAGAATCACTATAACTTTTCAAATGATCAACAATAGAAATTAGTATTATTTCATTGCCAAATTTGAATAATGTACAGAGACAAATTTGTTACACATGAATTTTCCAAATGTTGAACATAAACAACAACCATCACTGGGTAATGTTCTGTAATGTTGTTTTGGTAGCAATAGGAAATACTATTTAAAAAGTATATCATCTTTTCAGGAGTTGCCATCAAAACTGTCACTAAAAGTTTGAGTCTATCTATAAAATATAAAATCTTTCCCTTGTCATTTTTCTAAGTTGTTTCATGAATATTACTTCAGTCATTTGGTTTCTCTGGTATCAAATGTAGTAATACCAGATGTATCTGCACTGGCTATATTTAAAATAAGGAACAAGGAACAGGGGAACTGGGAATGGGGAACGGGGAATGGAGATTAGGGAATCTTTAAAGTGGGACATTTTTAAAAGCGAGAACTTTAAAATGGGCTTTATAAGCGGGAATGTTAAAAATGGGAAATCTTTAAAAGCTAGAATTTAAAAATGGGCGTTAAAAGCAATAATCATGGAAAAGTTCCTCTTTTTTTACGAGAATGAATTCAATAAAATTCATAACTGTTAACACTAATAAAGCTACATGACAGAGGAAATCCCACCACAAGGTTGAGGTTCGCTCAATGTGACAATTTTGTTTTTGGCGGATGGCAGTGGCACTCAAATTTTTTTTTTTTATTAGTCCAAATGGTTAGTCGGTCATTGGTTCTATTAGCAATTATGATTGAATAGTCCAATACACATAGCTTTCTGGTATTATCCTGTGGCGTTCCTATCCTGGGAAACCGGTGGAAGGGAAAAAAAGAACGCCCAATACAATTACTTCACGAGTCGTCTGCCCATAGTCCAGAATTTGACATTTTGACTGATTGGTTGTAAAACATTGACGGATTAAACAGACATTTTAACTTGCTATTCCCATTCCCTAAAAAATAAACGTGTAAATGGCCCATTTTAAAGATTTATCATTTTAAAGATTCCCTATCTTAAAGATTCCTCATTTTAAAGCTTTCCCATTTCCTATTCCTCCGTTCCCCGTTCCCTATTTTAAAGATAGCCTATCTGTACTACACACTTTGATAAAACTTTGATCGTGTACTCTTTGGGTAGAAAAAGAGCACTGCGCAAGGCATTGACTCATCCTTCAACAAACCGAAGAGAAAACATCATCAAAGTCAAGGGAGGATTCGTGTGGCAAGTCTGGTTTGTAAATACGTTATATGGGAGGCAGATCTTTTACGATATTGTGATAAGTCCATTTTCGGGTCCGCAGGCACTTAATTTCTAACGTACTGATCGAACACAACAAGCGGCCATGTTGTCTTTATTACACACACAACAACAACCACCTCAAGGGGGGTGGTAACGAAAGTAACACATTTCGTTCTAACAGGGAGGTACACGGTTTCGGCTTTCGCTACAATATTTAAACAAGTTGAGTGCAACTAGCCCTCAGAATAGGCGTTATTCATCTATTTATTCATTTCTATTACTTATTTCTTTATCTGTATACTTATTCACCATTTAGTTATGTATTTTCTTTTACTCAAAATTCAAAACCGCTTAAATCAAGTGAAATCGGTAAAATAATGACACCAGGAGCAAACAACACACGTATGGAACAAGGTAAGCCATTTTCATTTAATATTTTCACTTTAAACTTTCTCTGTGGATATCTTCTAGAAAATCCCATACAAATCCTTATAAATATGCAAATTGTGTTCCTTGTGTGGTTCTCAAAGAGAGCTTGGGTAGCCTGTGGTTCCAACAGATTCCAAGCGCTT